GATGATGATGATGATGATGATGATGATGGTGATGATGATGATGTTGATGAAGAGGATGATGATGATGCTGATGATGATGGTGATGTCGATGATGGTAGAAAAACTTCCCTACATGCAACTCTGTGAGACTGTGGTGCTCATTTGAAGATGGTGCTTGTGGTTCCGGTAAAGATCCTGATTTTCCTTGCTCTCCATCGTCAGGACACACACCGGGTGGTGGATTTTACGTAGGGCTTTTCAGTAAAATTCCTATTACAAAAGTCCAGGCACAGTCCAGTAATACCAAAACTTTCTGTTCAATGGACGCTGGGTTGCTTAGCCACAAATACTCTTCTACTCAATAGTTAAATCACTCATTGTCAGTCGTGAATCAAGGCTGTTTCTAATCTAATTTCTAGCTTATTTAGAAAGTATGAAGACAACTAATGAGTGAACGTGACGTACGCTATTTTGTTACAGGACGGTCTTGGTTGACAGCCTGATCAAAGACTGGCCGACTACAGCTAGAGCGTGTTTTTGTGTGTATAAAGGTCAGACGGTTGAGCTCATTCGGGAGACTGAGGTGTCTCATATCACGGTTGAAACTTTGACAAGTAGTCTCCGTATATCTGCTGTATAAACTCTGGGTGATCTTTGACTCAGTGAAGCGCACGCAGTGTAAGAATCAAGGACGAAGGGAAATACCAGGTTGGCTGTAGGTGAGCCTAACCATCCTACATTTACTGCAAAAGAAATCATCGATTGAGGTGCACAAGAGCTCCGCAAGTGGTCCACTGAAGCTCACTCTGGGTTTTAGTTTCTCTTGTTTAGGCTTACGCAACCTGCCAGTAACTCCTCCCTCCTTAAAGTTGCATGGTAGCAATGCGCCTAGCTGTCGTCAGTGGAACGACTACATAATAATCTATCTATGCTATTGAATCGGACTGAACTCGTGTGAGACACCCTCATCCCCGGATAAAAAATCGGGTTAAAAACTAGCTCAAAGAATGTTTCGCTTTGTAGCTAGTGTTTTGAAATTAGCAACAAAAATTTACCGTAGCCTTCGTTTTGAAACAACTAATGTATATTTTTCCTCTGTACGATACTACTTATAACCCTGGTGCATGAGAAACTGAACCGAGTCCGCCGTCAAAACTATTGCAATGTGCAAGTGGAGGTCTACCTGCATCTCTGTTCTATCTGGTGCTTGAGTATGAAAAACGAGTTTGTTCGAAATTTGTAGACCGGCTTAACTGATGAGCCCCCCACAAGGGGAAAAAGTAGTGAATTGTCGTTTTCATCAAAATGGTGGGTAGGGTCATATTGGAAATACCACGAATGTGACCACAATCGAATGAATAGCATCGGTCTTTGCACAACATGTTCAGTTACAGAAGAAAGATTAAGTGGAGCTACCCAGAGTTACCCCTTTGACATGATGTTATTTACAAATTAGCGGTCAATTTCACACAAGTATTTTTACATCCAGAGTAAAGATCTCCGTCATACTGTCAGAATTGCGTAATCCACGATTTCATTGATTCAAGAGTTGCAACTGCGTATGCACAGAGTTTTACTCATAAAACAAATATGCGATCCAAAGTTGGATGCATTGCAGTGGGCCCACTCTGGTTGTCTCATTTGTCATATAATCACACTCATGTGTTTAGTTCACTGGAGTTTGAACAAAAATGCACAGTGTAGATCAATTTTGGGACAAGTGGTCCTTGTCTGTGTCGGTTCATGCATACAGATGGAAAACGTGTGTACTATTATTGAGCTAAGCGACCAGCGGTCATGACAACCACAAGCGAATCATCCCTCATTCATTACGAGGTCTTTTCCGTCGGTTGGATTTTCTGTTTTCATCTTCAAATTAAGTTGTTTGTTGTAAACAAAATTGTTGGGCTCGTAAAAAGCTCAAAATCTACCTAACTGGGTTTTTGAGCGAGATCGAGAAGTACTCAGCTTCGGCTCTCCAGTTCGGAAGGATGCAACTCTGCTGATCACATATCCGATTAAAGTCACCTTTATCCTTCGCGTCACAGGTTGTTTGCTCAGATCCTGTAGGAGAATCAGGAGAGTTTGGGGATACAGCAAACACTTCCTATTCTTCAACCGCGAATTCCTGTAAGTTCAAAGGAGGTGGCCGGCGGAGCAGCATGTTACGGTCAGCAGTGAGAAAAACTACCACGTGACTGACCTTGTCGCACCTATTCGAGTAAACTGGGCAATTGATTTTGTAGCTGTCTACATCCTAATGCTATGAAATTGAGGCTTATTCTGGGGAGACAGATGAGGAGAGGGGAGAAAACGCGTGGAGTTAAACTTGGCCAAGTAGTTTGAGCTAAATAATGCTGACCTGGTCCACGTATCATGTGAAAGATAATGAAGTAAACGTAATGCACTACTCATAAGGTTGCTGAAAAATCTTCCACAGCCCACGACCGGTTTTGCTCTTCTTGGGGCTCATCAGGTAGGCGCGATTCCCGAGAGTATTTCGCTACTGGTGAAGTAAAGTTTGCAGGAAAAATGCTGAAAGTATACCACAGACAATAATACGAAGAAGAAAGCCGCGTGAGGTGTTTCGAAGTCAGGACAGATTAGGTCGTCGTTAGTGTGGAGAGATTTTGGACTTTACAGTTAAGGTTTTGTCTTGTCATTGAGGTCTTTAACCCCATGTAACCATTATTTTATAAGTAGCCCAGAGAGAGAATCATCATCATCATCGACAGCATGACATTAGTGTTCAACACCGATACTTCACTGCCGTACAACCATGACTTATTTGAAAGGCTTATTGTAAAGAAAAGAGTGAAGGTGGACGGGGAAGGTACTTAGTGCTAGCTTACCGCAATCATTCCGAGGTGCCCACACCTCCAGACATTCACTCA